AGGTTCTGCAGGGCTCGTCCAACATGCCTGAGAGTGGTATTTTCTCATTCAGACTTGAGCACAAACTGTGTTATTTTTGCTCTCTGAAGAGAACAGGCTGGTGCAGCAGTGTGCTGCAGAGCTCGTGAAGGAGGGGAAGGGAGTTTGCCCAAGGACACATTAGATGGATTGACACTGTTATGATAATTATGGTGTTCAAAAGCACATTCACATGCAAATTTACCGCCGCACGAAATACACCCTTTTCCAAATTTCTGAATTTCCATCACTAGCAAAGACAAGTCACTGCCAGGTGTGTTGCTGTTTTTTTTCTTGGAAAGACATTTTCATCAACATTTTTGATGTATTGCACCAAATTTCATTACCAGCCTGCTGGGTTTACGCAACACATTATCTGTAGGCGAACCTGTCACCTGATTGACACAATAAAACTGATTTTCCTTCAGCTTGTGTAACCGTGTCACATCTGAACCCGTCACAATCACAGTGACATAATTATACCAGACTTTCAGGAAAACAGATCCATAAATCCAATCAAATGAAAAGAACCACAATTAAAGAGTCCCTTGGATGGAAATCATGTTTTTTGTACCTTAACTTGTCCGTATGGTGGTTTTTATATGCCAGACACACACATCTTGAGCAAAACGAGCTCTCAGCTCTGGCTGAGCATCTTCATGCTGGAACTGCAGCGTTCTCTCTACAACTGATAATTATGGATTCATACATAAAATATCAATGCATCACTCTGGACGTCAGTAATTCTAGAAACAAACTGCGGGAAAGAGAAGACACAAAGTTCTGACGTAAATGTATGAGGAAGAGATTTAGAGAGTAGAGGAGAGGAGCTCAGTGAAATAGACAACAATAGGACAACTACCAGAGGTCTAATATGAACGGCATGAAATAATGAGAGCTACTGATAAACACAAAATACACAGAGCTATGAACTCGCAAGTTACAAGACGAACTGCAAGAAAATGGAACAACAAGGAGCTGACCGGCAGAGGACAAAACAAAAGACTAATCAAGACCAAGTTAGTGGTTATATTAG